AATTTTCAAAAAGTTTGCATATTAAGTAGGGAAAATTTGATAAGAATATATTAGTAAAAGAACAGAATTTTGCTACTCAAACGAAATATTTGGCATATGGGATGACACAACGCACACATGGGGAGGTTGACATTATTTAATTTAGGTCGGGACCCACATGCAATGTGAGTGGTCAGTCAACTCATATGTTCATTTAGTTTAATTCAAAAGAACACAACAAAATATTCTATAGTAGGAAATAAACATATATATTTGGGATAAGAGAAAAGGGAAACTCAATCTGTATAATTGGGAGGGAGAGAGTATATTATAGATTAGGCAAATCCTAACTATCTGGGAATTATGATCATGATGAGCAAATCAAGAAACTTTATATTAAATTCTTGATGTTCACCCCCTTGGACAAAGAGCAACAATTAACACATCGTGATATTTTTTTTTAGAACTTTATATATCCAATTGGAACACGAATTCCAATACTTTTGTCCCTCCACACATCTCCAAACAGGCAAACACTCCAATCTCTAGGAATTGACCTCATTTTTTATCGAAGCAAAGACCAAAAATCAAATTCTTCCACCTTCTATCTCCTTGTTAGGGATGAACATATTTCTCACACCCAAACTATCGAATCAAATTGACCCGAGTTGTTTTGAATCTATTTGGAGGGATGTTGGTTTAGTTTTCACGTTGGCTTGGACCAATCTGAAAATCTCAAGTTGAGGTGTTGGATTTAGGATGTGTTTGGGACACATTCTTTTGAAAGAATGTATTATTGAATAGTAGATTAATGAAGAATATGTGGTTAAAAATGAAAGAAAAGTTATTGATGTGATGAAAAATATTATTTTATTGAAAAATGTGTGATTGAAAATGAGTAGAAGAATGCGAATGAAAAAAATAATGTGTACCAAACAGGGGCTTAAGATAAAAAGTCACAGAAAAAATATCTTAACGTGACAAATCGAATTAACCTAAACATATTCGGATCAAGTCAATTCGTCTTGTTTATTAAATTTCAAATTGTGATTTCACCCAATTCGAGCTGTTGGTTCAATTATCGAATTGTGTCCGATCTCGAACTGGGTCACTCCCTACTCTTTACAATTCTCAAATATCATGTAATTCTATCACACGACGAACTCGTAAAATGTCTATCTAATAAGTTTATATGTATTTTTGTAAGTACTTTGAGCACTTTTGTACAATTCGATTTCGATTTGCAATATAAATTCTAATCAAAGTAATGGTTACACGTTATGCATAATAATATTCATTTAAGTAATACATAATAATTCAGTTCCATTTTACAAAATGATCTTTGCCAAAGGGTGGCAATGTAGTGAAGAAAACAACCCCATTGAAAATATTTAATTAATTATAACTAAGGGAAAATCCTTACAATGCTATAGAAAAATAAAGCACTCTAAGGAAACAATGGGGTTTTCCAGTGACTCGCCGTCTTCTGCTAAAACGTCGTCGTTGGAATTCTCTACTTTACCGCCGCCGTTACTCTCCGCCGTCTTCACCACTGGCGCACCACCTGACCGACTGGTCTCGCTCGGCCCAGGACTTTCAATGCTCAAATTCCCACGCTGACCCACGTCGCTACTTGTCGCCGGCGACCTCGACCTCCTGGCGGAGATATCGCCGGAGTCTCGACGGAGACTTTTCTCCGTTCCTGGATTCCGTTGCTGGGCAGTGGATACCCTCCCCTGAAACGGACGAGAAGCAGTCAACTGACCCCGGCTCTGCTGCAACGTCGCCGTCCGTCCAGTCAGAGCTGATCTTTCCTTTCTAAATCTCCCGCCGGGAATTTCGCCGGTGTTTTGCCGTCTTCTTGGGACTCTAGCAGGAATCCTCTGGTTCACTTCTCCATCATCGTCGTCTCTATTCTCTATCCCCGTCGTTGAAAAGCTCTCAGTAAAACTACCCAAATCCGAAACTACAGATGCCTCTGAAACAATTTCTTCAGTGCGCTTAGGCTTAATCACAGCCCGTGAATCAATCTTCAGTTCTTGTATTCTCTCATTCAATTTCTCCACTTTCTGACTAGAACCCTTTTCAATAGGTGTTTCTGAGAGCACTTCTTTTACAGTTTCTTCTTCCACCGGCAATGGCTGTGCTCCTGCCCCTCCGCCCTTTGATTCAGATACCGAACGGTGGTTCTCCATTTCCGGCTGAGATGTAGAGCTTTGACAGCAACCCATTTTCGGAATACGCAAAAGATGAACAATCTGATCAACTATACGTGCGTTTGCATCGATCTCTTTCGCTTAGTGGCTGAAATTGATTCAAATTAGTAGAAAATGGTAGGGACTGGCACTGGCTTTGTGGATATTGAAGGTTACAAATGTTTGATGTGAAAGAGAGTGTTGTGTTCCAAAAAGTGCATTAAGGTTGGGGACATCCATGTCTTCCCGCGTGATCTGCTTCATTGTTGTTACTTTATTCCTATTGTATTGTATTGTGTGTCCTTTCCTTTTTCTTCTTTTAATTGATTGGTTCATGTTTTTCTGTTAATATTCGTCATTCGTCAATCAAGATTCAAACATTTGGTGGGGTGGGTGCACCGGGTGGGTGTATTGGTTGACCAACAAGTTAGTTTAGTCCGAGCCACAATAGTGATCTCATACCCAATCGAATAAGTAATACTATTTAGTATCACTGATGTTACCATATTGAATTAGATGACATTAAGTGTCATGAATTGAGATGAACAATTAAATTAATGACATTATTCCACCTTTCATTGAACTCATTATACTTTGACACTTAAACTGTGTTTCAACACAATCGGTGTTAGATAACATTATTCAAATCGAATTTTGAAATTTAGAAAGAGCTACTTTAGCTAAAACATGAGCAATCCTATTTCCCACGCTTTGTGCATATGAATATGATAGTGCTTTAAAGTTGGACTTCAACTCCTCAATATAGCAAAGAATGGCCTCTGTGTGCTAGAATGGTTAGTACATCGTCCTCGCCACATTGATGCGATCGGATAAAATGGTCATGATAACCAGATGCCTTTCATAACCATATTTGCGCCCTTCAAAAATCAGCAAACACTCGCCTCCATAAAGAGTGTCACTTCTCCATATGGACTTGATATCATAAGCACTATCTCACTATCAATGTTCCTGCAATTATGGAAGAGCAAGACCCATTACCTAAATGATTTATAAATTTTACCAAACATAAATTTAAATGCAAAATACTAAAAAATAAGAGTCAGAACAGATTCGAGCCATTTGTCATCCATATGGTAGTATAAAACGCTTGTAAGGATTGAAAATAAAATAAATAAATAAATAATAAAGATAATTATCTGCAACATTGGTGATTTTTTAATTCAGGCAGGACCATACGCAAATGTGAGGGTCGATCAATCCCTATGTCAAATTTTTCGAGCACTTCAGCAAAATTCAAACAAAATCACCAAAAATAACAATTTCCAGATTCATACGAAGCCATAAATTTTCTCTGTGTAGAACATTTACCTATTTTCCTTACTTTTATTTACCCATTTTCAATATTCTTCAAATCTGTGATTTTTTTTTTTCTTTTCATTTTTCGAAATTTAAGTTTACATTGTGTTATTTTTTATAAGATTTCTTTGTTATGGCTGGCGGTTATGATTCCAATCCCTTTGGTGAAAAGAAGTTAACCCATTTGCGGTAAATTCTTATCTTTGCATGTT